ACAGTGTCCAGGATCATGCTGGTTTCCTGGTTGGCAGGAGTTGGGGTGAGCTGCTTCCAGTGGGGCGGGCCTCTCAGCACCATCGAACCACTGAGACCTTCACTGGAGCCGGCCTGCAGCACCCACAGCTGAGCAGGTCCCAGGGATGCTGGGTGGGGCAAGAAGGTATCCCCCCCCGGCACACCCAAGCACCCTCCTGGCTCTGCCCGGCAGCAAGGGCTCTGAGCCCCTGTTGTGGAGCCAAGAACAGCACCGGCACCCGCTGCCCAGACATGCTTTAGCTCTGATCCTGCAGCAGCCTGGGTCAAGGGGGCCCTCTGCCAGCTCCCCAGCCCAGGCTGGGAATGAGGGTGCCCCTGTCTGCACCCCATCCCCAGCAGAAGGTCTCAGCCCTGGCCAGTTTTGGCTGTGAGAGCAGGGTGTCCAGCGTGAGCACCCGTGTGCAGGGTGGTCCCAGGGGTAGTGCCTGGGGGGCCCCTGGAGCCCAGGGGGAGCGAGGGCGCTACAGCACGGTCCTCCATCATTCCACAAGGACAGCCACCACAGACACCCTCTTCTTCCTCCTCTGATCCGGGAGCTTTCCCCTCTCCGTAGATCAAAGCAGCAGCCTCATGCCAGGCTGGCACAGAGCAGCCCCCCGCTAACAGCTTCGAGTGGCACAAGGGAGGGAGAAAACCCACAGCCCCCCCCCATCCCTGAGCACAGCTCAGCCAGATGGGTAAGTCTGGCAGTGCAGGGGTCTGGGCACGGCCCCCCCCAGCTGGCACAGCACCTCGGGGTGCCGGTGGCACAGCCCGTGCCCTCCACCCCAGGCTCCCTCCAGGGAAGACGCTGGCTCTCCAGCGGTAAGGGAGGAACCCTCCACAAGCCAGCACAGTTTATGTTTCCCATATGGAAACAATCTCCATCCAAGAACAGATTTCTTTATAGCAAGCCGTTTATAAACTTCCCCAAAAGCTTTGCACATCAAAAGCCCTGCTCATGTCACTCCCTGGTAAGGCAGCTCAGAGAGCATCCAAGCTGGATCACCCTTCAGGAAAGGCAGCTGAAAACAATTTATCTCCTCTTTTCTTCTGGGGACAAAAAGTTTACAGAGCAAGGGGCTGAATATTCCCTAACATTCAGATCTTCAGCATCCCACTGCTCCTAACCTCAGCTCCCCCTAAATGTTACTTTTCCCCCCCTTGATTTTCTTTATGGGTTATTATTTAAGATACATTGCCTATGTAACTATTTCAGCTCCCACAGTGCCTAAGCAGGCTCAGTTAGTTGGAGAACCCTTGCAAGACAAACTTCTCCATCAAATAAAAGATGCTGAATGCGCACACCCCACTGCCACGCCGCCACCCCTCGGAGCTGCCCCGGGAGTCCCAGGAGCACGGGGCCACGCTCGCCGGGGTGATAGTGGAGAGGAGACTTACCCAAGTGTCCTGCAGCCGCGAGTGCCGAGTGAGCACAGCTCCGTGCTGGCAAGAGAGCCGAGTGCGATTCATGCTTCCCCTCCCAGTATATAACCCGTCCAAATCAATGAATCAGCACGGGGCAGCGTCGGGGTTAGGGAAAGCGCTGGAGCAGAGCTGCTTCCAACTCCTATTTCCTCGGCAAACAGAGCAAGCATCTCAAGGACGGAGTTTTGGGTTTTCCTCTCCTGAACCCCAGCGCTCTTGTTTGAAGACAAGCAGATGGCCCCATGAACGTGCTGCTAGTGCTCAGGTAGCAGCTTGGCCCGGGAGCCCCCACCCCGGTCCCCGGTGGGACACAGCTGGGTGCCCCGACCCGTGGGGGCAGGTGAGGCAAAGCCAGACCCCCGGTCACGATCCTGCCCTTTGCTGGCACACATTCATACCAGGGCTGCTCCATGGCATCGCCTCAGCACACGCACAGCGCTTGTCTCCCCAGCTACAGCCCCTGCAGGCGTCAGGACCTCCGGCTGTGCCCCAGCCCAGGGCTGGCAGCACAGGCAGCCCCCCAACATGCCGACCCTGCCCTCACTTCTCCCACCCGCAGATGCAAACAGGCCAGGAACCCACAAGCACCCACGCCAGGGCTCTGCCCCGCAGGCACCTCACCCAGGGAGCAGGCACCACGCAGGGGTCAGCAGCGTTGCTGGTGGCAGCTGGAAGCCAGGCTGCTTCAGAGAGCCCTCAGCAAGCCAGAGCATCTCCCGCCAGCACTGCCGTGCCTGTGGGTGCTGAGAAACCCCCTCGGTGTCGATTGCAGGCAGACTTGCAACTCCAAAGTGGCACACGTTGTCATCTCCCAGGGGCCACTGCCCTCTTCATCCTCGGTGGCCGTGACACCTGAGTGATGGAGCCCAGCACCCAGGGGTGTTTGGGAAGCAGGGCACAAGCCCGTCCCATCTGCTCAGGAGCACCTGTTGCCACCCCTCCCCTGTCCCCTCCAGCCCACATGGGTGTATGGGGGTGCCCTTGCTCCCCCCTGCCCAGCCCAGGCCCCTCCCCATGCCCACCTCTCCTGAGCAGCCCTGGTCCAGCAGCCACCAGGAACAGGTATTTGGGAGGAAGCAGCTGAAGAGAGCCAGCATTCATGGCTTCCCGGAGCCGGAGCAGTCCCGTGCTAACCACGGGGCAGCTGGAATTTCCCTGACCACGTCTAATCCTGTCTCAGCCCACCCATGTTTCCGCCAGCCACAGCAGCCCCTGCTCAGGTCCCAGCCAGTGCTAATGAGCTGCTGGAGATGGGAACAGCATGGGGCTGCTGCCGAAAGGGCACGAAGGAGCAAGGCTGCCTCCATCCCCATGCCGCAGTGTGCTGTGCCGTGAGGGGTGGGAGAGTGCAGGGCAGTGCAGGGGACAGGGACCTTGTTCACAGTGGAGATCAGAGCAGGATAAACAACAAACTACAGGGATGGAGAGAGAAGTTTCCAGCCAGGCTCTGAGGAAGGCGACAGGGATCGTGGGAAGAGGGTAGGGAGTGGGACCTCAGCCGGAGGCAACCGCTGCCGACATGCCAGATTGCATGGGGGCGGCCCCGCTGCTGCGGGACATGCCGGATGGCCACGGACCCCTCCCCAGCCAGGGAGCGAGCACTGAGGCTGGGGCTACCCCCGGCCACACTCCCTGCCCACTCCTGGGGCAAAGCCCATAAATTTGGTCACAGAGAAGGGGCATTTTGAAATCACCACCCACAAGTGCTTTAGCTCACGCTCTATTGACATAGCGTATTTTCCCAGCTCCATGATTCCCAAAATATCCTCCCCGCTTCCTTGACAGCGGTGCGGCTGGAGGTCAGGCAGCGGGCTTGGGAGCTGCCCGCTCCCTGCAGCCCTGGCACAAGCGCAGGGCTCTCATAGCCTTACTGCACCCTTATCACCGGCTCTGTCTGCCCGCTACCAGCGCCAGCGCTGCTGGGCTCCTGCCTGCTCTGACTCACCCCAGAAGCACACAGCTTTTCAGCAAGGCAACACAGAAATTAAACACCAGCACTTCCGAAAAACCACCACCCCAAGCCCAGTCCGACAGGAATGTTGGACTCGGCTCCTTCCAAGCAGCGCTGCCCCAGGGGGGACGCAGGGTGGGTACCCTCAAAGACCCCAGGAAGGGGGGATGATCAGATTATGGTACCTACAGCCACGCAGAGCACCTGAAGTTTCGGACAAGCCCAGGTAACGGCCCTGCCAAAACCCCAGATGCCTCTACCCAAGCCTCGGGAACCTGGCTCCGGCCCCTGACTGGGGAGGATGAGTCTGTTTTCAAGACATCCCTAAAAATAAAGCAAAGCTGAGTAACTGCACAAGCCCGCGCACTGCACCCGCAGTGGAGAGGGAGCCGCTCGCCGAGGTGAGCGCACAGAGCTTGCCCCAGGCTACAGGCAAGGGGCGGGGGGCAGGCAGGGAAGGGGAGCTGGTGCCTGCGGTGTGAGATCTCTGGACAGACACATGGACATGCTCTGCACATCTGGAGGGGAGAGACAGCTCTCAGAGACAGCATGCAGATGTTATTGAGGGTGAGATAAGTGTTTTGCAAAGGGAGGCTGCTCCACATAGCTGAGAGCTCACACAGTGCTGGAGGGAGCGGAGCAAGCCTCACGCCATGGGAAAGCCCCAGGGTCCAGGTCTGGGGACCTTCCCCCAGCTCCAGCCACACCATCCAGAGAAAGGTTGAACCCCCTGACCAAGCTCAGGATGGCGTGGAGTCACTGCTGTGTCCCTACAC